CTTTTTACCACATCGGGACACAGGAGAAAATGAGAGAGAAGGAAAGGAGGGGGTTATTGATGCCCACTGTCTACTGTTCTAAACGTGGCCCATGTGCTCCAGTCTGGCGGGTGCTTGCTCTGGAGGACATATGAAAGTGCTTCAGAAAGTTCAGGTTACGAGGGCCGCTGCCTTTTATGGATGACCAAGCAAATGAAGAAAAGCAAAAACACTTCCAAGACTGTGCTACAGTCACCAGCAACACAAATAGTATACACAGCATAAATGTTTAAATAAGATTTAAGTCCCAACTACATTACAGAAACTGAGATAGAAGGTGTAATGAAGAGCGGTGGATCTTAAAATCACTGTGTGCAGCACAGAAGTTGAAGCTCAAAAAGACAGTTGAAAAATGAAATTTTTTTAAAAAGGTAGACAATTTTTCCAGACTTAAAACCACATGAAATTGAAACAAGCCACAGAAACCCACTGCTTCTCCACACCTATGATATATTTGGGTGATACGGAGAATTTCAATGTAAGGAAAATTCTTCCACAAAACACATACACATACACACACACACACAAAAAATTAAGTTGTTTCAAAGTAGAGGGGCTAAAAGTGAAACCTATCAGAGAGATTTTGGAGGAATATGGCAGACAAGAAGCTTCTTCCTTGTAGCCGTGTGAAGGAGAGGCAGAGGGGGGGAAAGGAAAAAAAAAAGTAATATGTGGTAGTCTATGCCTTTTATCCCCGTACTCAGGAGGCAGAGGTAAACTCTCTATGAGTTTCCAGACCACTCTGGTCTACAAAGCAAGTTCCAGGTTATCAAGAACTACATAGTCAGATTCTGCCTCAGAAAGAAGAAATGAGAAAGAGAAAGGGCCTTGTAAAAAAAAGAGACAGAAGACAGGTGTCAGAAACTGACATGGATAATGACAGTATTCTTGAGATGTACAAAGGAAAAGATGGTTAATTTGCAGAAAAGAAACCAATCACAGGTCACTCTGGCTGCAAAGCTTCCAGGTGGAGGAGTTGAAAGCTGTGAGATGCCCCAACAAGCTAAACCAGGCAGCCCTGGGAAAATGAGAATTTAAGCCTAAATCTCCACAAGCTTAAAAACCAGATGCAAAGGGCCCTGGGAAGACCTTGCCACTGTTGCTGGTGGGCTGCAGCAGGTCCGTAGATGGAGAGGAGGGGGCTCTCATCTGCTGCTCCCTGATGCATGCTGGTCTGCAAATAAGGGTAGGTCTCCAGATATACTGAGGCCCAGGATATACTGAGGTCTTTGATCCACATGGACTTCAGTTTTGTGCAGGGTGATAAGGGTGGATCTATTTGCATTCTTCTACATGCAGACATACAGTTAGACCAGTACCAATTTTATCATATTAATTTTTTTCAGGTTTTTTTTTTACTTTACATCCTAAGGGTGCCCCCTCCCTCATCTCCTCCCAGTCCTCTCTCCCCCTCCTTTCCCTCTTTCCTCTCCCTTTCCCCCCAGAAAAAGGGAGCCCGCCTTTTCTCCTTTCAACCCTCCCCAGCACATCAAGTCACATCAGGACTGAGCATAATTTCATCCCCTGAGGCCAGGCAAGGCAGCATTGCCAGGGGGAAGTGATCCAAAAGTAGGCAATAGAGTTCGTTATTAGAAACAGCCCTCCTCCTTCACTCACCAGGTGACTCACATGAAGACCAAGCACCCATCAGCCACATATGTTCAGGAGGCCTAGGTCCAGACCATGCATGTTCCTTAGTTGATGTCTCAGTCTCTGTAAGCCTCCATGGGTCTCAGCTAGTTGTCTCTGTTGGTCTTCTTGTGCAGTTTCTGCCCACTCCAGGTCCTTCCCCCAACAGTTCCACAGGACCTCCGGAGCTCTGCCCTATGCTTGGCTGCAGATCCCAGCATCTGTATCCATTTGCTGCTGGCTGAAACTTCCTAGCTGACAGTCATGTTAGGCTCCTGTCTGCAAGCAGAGCAGAGCACCTTTGATCGTGTCAGAGGCCAGCTGTCTACCACTGAGTGGGCCTCAGGTTGGGCCAGCTATTGGTCGGGCTTTCCCTCAGTCTTTGTCCCCTCTTTATCCTGCACTTCTTATAGGCAGGGTAATTTTTGGATCAAAGGTTTTGTCAGTGGGCTGTTGTTCTCCTCCCTCCACTAGTCCTGCCTGACCAGGAGGGAGTCATTTCAGTCTTTATGTCATCTCCCCCCCCCATTAGAAGTCTCAGTTAGAGTCATACCCATATTCCCCAAGGAGCCTACCCTGTCACAGGCCTCCAGCTTGACAAAGAGAGGTCCCCCTCAGTTTTCCTTCTCATTTCCAGCCCTCTCACCTCCCACTCCTGTGCTCCCCATCTCTGATCCCCACCCTTGTTTCCCTCCTCATTCCATTTCCTGACCAGTTCCCTTTCTTCATCCACTTCTGCTGTCTCTTCTATTTTCCTTTCTGAGTGACATTCCAGCACCCTCCCTTGGGCCCTCCTTGTTACTTAGCTTCTTTGGGTCTATAAATTGTATTATGGTTATCCTGTATTATCAGTCTAATATCTTCTTATAAGTGAGTACATACCATGTGCGGCTTTTCTGGGTTACCTCATTCAATATGATTTTTTTTTCTAGTTCCATCCATTTGCCTGCAAATTTCATGATTTCCTTGTTTTTAATAGGTGGATAATAGTCCATTGTGTAATTGTACCACAATTTCTGTATCCATTTTTTTGGTTGAGAGATATCTAGGTTGTTTCCAGATTCAGACTATTATGAATAAAGCCACTATGAACAAAGCTGAGCAAACGTCCTTGTTGTATGATTGAGCATCTTTTGGGTGTATGCCCGGGAATGGTATAGCTGGGTCTTGAGGTAAAACTATTCCCAATTTTTTGAGAAAGTGCCAGACTGATTTCCAGAAAGGTTGTACAAGTTTACATTCCCATCAGCAATGAAGATGTGTTCCCCTTTCTCCGCATCCTCTCCAGCATGTGTTGTCACTTGAGTTTTTGACCTTAGCCATTCTGACTGGTGTAAGATGGAATCTTAGAGTAGTTTTGATTTGCATTTCTCTGATGACTTAAGGACATTGAGCATTTCTTTAAGTGCTTCTCAGCCATTCAAGATTCCTCTGTTGTGAATACTAGGTTTAGCTCTATACCCCATTTTTAATTGGATTGTTTGGTTTGTTGGTATTTAATTTCTTAGGTTCTTTGTATATCTTAGATATTAGCCCTCTGTCAGATGTAAGATTGGAGATCTTTTCCCAATCTGTAGGCTGCTGTTTTGTTCTATTGACAGTGTCCTTTGACTTACAGAAGCTTTTTCATTTCGTGAGATCCCATTTATTAATAGTTGGTCTCAGAGCCTGTGCTGTCGGTGTTCTGTTCAGGAAGTTGCCTCCTATGTCAATGAGTTCCAGACTTTTCCCCACTTTGTCTTCTCATAGATTTAGAGTCTCTGGTTTTATGTCAAGGACTTTGATATACTAGGACTTAAGTTTTGTGCAGGATGATAAATACGAGTCTATTTGCATTTTTCTACATTCAGACATTCAGTTAGATCAGCACCATTTATTGAAGTTGTTTTCTTCTTTCCATTGTATGGTTTTGGCTTCTTTGTTGAAAATCAAGTGCCCATAAGAGTGTGGGGTCATTTCTGGGTCTTCAGTTCAGTTCCATTGATCAACCTCTCTGTTTCTATGCCAATACCATGCAATTTTTGTTACTATTGTTCTGTAGTTCAGCTTGAAATCAGGAATGTTGATACCACCAGAAGTTCTTTTATTGCACAGAATTGTTTTGGCTTTACTGGGTCTTCTATTTTTTCATATGAAGTTAATGGTTGCTCTTTCCAGGTCTGTAAAGAATTATGTTAGAATTTTGATGGGAATTTCATTGAATGTGTAGATGGCTTTTGGCAGGATGGTCATTTTTACTATGTTAATTCTAACGATCCATGAGCATGGGAGATCTTTCCATCTTGTAAAATCTTCAATTTCTTTCTCCAGAGACCTGAAGTTCTTGTCATACAGGTCTTTCATTTGCTTGGTTTGAGTTACACCAAGATATTTTTATACTATTTGTGGCTATTGTGAAGGGTATTGTTTCCCTACTTTCTTTCTCAGCCCTTTTGTCGCTTGTGTAAAGGAGGACTACTGACCTTTTTTGAGTTAATTTTGTATCCAGCCACTTTGCTGAAGGTGTTTATCAGCCATGGTAGAATCTTGCGGGCCACTTATGTATACTATCATACCACCTGCGAATAGCAACACTTTGACTTCTTCTCCCCCTCCCCAATTTGTATCTCCTTGATCTCCTTTACTTGTCTGATTGCTCTAGCTGGAACTTCAAGTGCTCTATTGAAGAAATATGGTGAGGGTGGACAGCCTTGTCTTGTCCCTTATTTTAGCAGGGTTCACAATGTGATCAAATATTCTGCCACATTTCCCCCTTTTTATCTAAATAAAAGAACAAATCCAGGAATGGCTGCCTTTGCTCCCAAGAGAAGACAGCAGGGAACTGGGCAGACACAGCCTTTATATAGGATTTCTTAGCGGATAGAACTTTCTAGGGCAGAGATTTCCAAAGTGAGGATTGGTTGTATTTCAAGTCCTGAGCTTAGGGAGCTCAG